ATATTTTTTTAAATCAAATTGTAAATAGTTAAGGTTATTGTTCTTCACTCATAACTACATGAACATTAAGAGTAGTTATTATTAGATACTCAGTGTTCTAAAGGAAAATAAATAGCGTACTACAAAAATAATGTATACATATATATCTCCTACTTGTTGAAATAATACTAGTTTTTACGGATTTTATCGCGTATATTTAACTATAAATACATCTCCTACTTTACTATTAATACGCATTTCTGTTGGCTTTTAACATGTTTAAAGCCGATGTATCAAGTTAGTCTTAGGTGTGATACAATGACATTATATGGCTTTATTGAGCCTTCACCTGGCGACAAGCATTGTTTGACTTTTTAAAGTACTTCTATACTTTTTAGTATTATTTGCAGCGACATCGTAGGCAAGTATTTAAGATTATGTAATAAAAATGTTTATATGGTAATAAAGAAGTATTTAATATTATTAAATGAGAACTAGGGTAAACTATTAAAGATAGATGTTTGTACCAAAGTAGAGTACTTCTTAAGAGTAAAAATTCAGATTTCAAAAGAAAACAAAAGTAATGTTAAAATAAATAAAATATGTTAGAGAAATGTGCCAACAGCAGCCGTGGGCTTCATAGGCAAACAAAATAGGTGATTGAGTCTCGCAAAAGGTGAATATCGCGTCTCCCTGCGACCTCAGCCTTGACAGACCCAGCATGTTAAGACTACCCAATCCATATTGAAGGATCCTTATACATTATTGACTAAATCTAACCTTTACCTTAATACATATCTTTACATTAACATATTTTATATAACAAACGGAATTAACCTTCTGTTCATATGGCTAGATCTAGACATAGTAACTATAAATAGGACAGGGTTCACCTAAACGCAAAGTAGGCAACTGTCGGATTTGGAAAAGATAAAAAGGCCAGCCACTTACATTGCCTAGAGGCCTCAATATGGCTTAAGCCCGCCCTAACTGTAAAACGACGGAATTAAGAAACAGTTACTCAAATTACAATTAGTGATTTCCATGCTATTGCCCAAAATAACCTAAATAAAGTCGGGTTTCTATAAAGAAAAAACGTTTTTTCGCCATACGAGTCATTTACGTACTGTAAAGTGCATGAAAAGCCCCTTTTAAATACAACTAACTAGTTCAACAGATTAGAAACTGCTAAAAATCAATTTCTTTTTATTACGAATTAAGTTTCTTATGTGTATAAACTCTTTTTACATACACATCATCTTAATGTATCTGCTCTTCTTATATAAAAACATCAATTGTTTTCCGTGAGTCTCGCTGAATCTCGAAAACGCCTCGAACGAGTTTCATGAATTATTTTGTATTTGAGTGCGTGGGCCTGGATGGTTTAAAAACCCGATTGAATCCCATCCATACTAAGTCGGAGCAGATAGCTAGGTTATAATTAAACCAATCGTTATTGGGAACGAAGCGTCTCTTGTATACAGAAATCGGACATAATACCGTGTCAGAAATAGAATACAACACAAAAGAAAAAGTAAACAGTTTGTCTTTTATCCATCTATTACGACCATCATTACTGACTCATCAAACACTAAAATGAGAATTATTTTTAAAGTCACAGATTGAAATAACACAGCACATTTTCGAATTTTAACTTTAACCAGAGTAAGTGAATCAAAGTCAAAATTGTATAAACTAGGTTCCGGTACTTTAATGTTTAATATTTTTATCAACGCCAGAAATATCGCCCATAAGTATAAAGTTTTTCGGTTATAATTAATATTGAATATATTGGAGACATAAGATTATCAGCCGAAAATTAAAGTAATAATTAATCTTATAATCCGCACGGATAAATAATGGGATTAGAAATGGCGACTCATCGAGCCCGTACCGTCAACATGCACAGTACCAATAGCGAAAACCCGCTAATAACGGTATGTCGTTATATTATTCCGTTAATTGGAAATGTTCTACTAATAGGAAGATTATTGAAAAGAATTGTACTCGTATATCCAAGTAGGTTTAATTTATTTTAAATTAATTTTAAAATAATATTTATGACTATCGATTCGCTCCGACTTTGCCTGGGTGGGATATATTAATGTGGCGTTATTTAGACTTAAGATAATCATTAAAGACCTTTATCTTATCAATATTTGTCATCATCATCATTACACTCTTTCACAAGTCTACTGCTGAACATTGGCCTCCCCCAAGGTCCCTCAAGGTCCCTAGCAAAGCACGGTCCTAAGCCACCTGCATCCATCGACTTCGTATAATATTCAATTTATATTTAGTAAAAAGTAAAAATAAAGTTACAGCTTATATATGTAAGGGCAAGAAAGTGTCCGCCGCGCTGCCTCAATGCGTGTTGGCGAACTTCACGTCTTTGAAATATTTTTTTTCTTATTCCTCAGACATGCAGGTTTCCTCACGATGTTTTTCTTCACCGCCGAGCACGTGGTAAATCAGCGCTTAAAATTGCACTTAACAATTTCATCAGTGCCGGCGGGAATCGAACCCAGGTTACTCGCGTTCTGTTATATTTACAGCGAGCGTTAACCATCTGAGCTACCACGGCTCTCAATTTATATTTATGTAATATTTATTTTTGTAATATTTGTATTATAATAAAATCTCTAAATTTTTCGGATAAAATTAGTTTAGATCACTTCAGGTGTTACTCTCTATTGGTTCGTGAAGTTTTATTGCAATCAGTTCAGCCATTCCGAAGACTAGCTCGGACAGACAGACAAACGAACATTTTTAAAATGTTTACTCATGTCTCAATGGCATGTAAATATTTTATACACGAATGTTAACAACAAAATCAACGATAATTATGAAGGAAATTCTCACAACGCATCGTAGCTCACAAATTAGCAAAACTGGACCGATTTTTTTTTTGTAGTTTTTGGGAATTTGTTATCATTGATTCCAATGACAAGTTGGACTGAAGTTATAGAACGTACCGAAAAACGCATATTTTTTGCATTCTTTAACAGCAGGTGCGAGTATAGAAAGCGACAGTGTGCAAGCAAGAGGTGAATAGAGGCGACGCCATTTTTAATCCCATTCTTTAACCGCAGGGGTTGTCCAATTCAAATTTTATTTCTTTGCTAACGAGTACTTTTAAGGTAAATAAACTTAGACATCAAACGAGCTATCGGCCCTGTTTCCAAAAAGCGGTTCTATAGTAATAAGGTGAGAGCACCGTCATCAGTCATCACTCATCACTGGCTGTAAAAGCGTCAATTATGTGTCGAATATTACACTATATTATATGGGTCTATTCCCGTAGCCAGTCGACGAACATCTAGAAAGTGTGGATTTAATTCATACCTGGGGCGAATTAGAGGATTTTCGTATCGACTTATTTGTTTTAAGCAGCTCCTAATAATAATAACCAAATCAATAATAGTAATTTTTATATATTATTATTAGATATATCTTAATACCTAATAGCGGTTAACAAATACTTACATCTACACAATATAGAATTTATTCATCTTAATAACAATTTTATTTAATATCATGTAAAATATTATGACACCGTAAATATCTTATGAATTATTCATGTTCTTATAAAACTGTTAATTCAAATGTATATATAAATAATATAATTTCATTATTGTACAAAATATTAATCCGATTATTTGATCAATACTTCATATTAACTGGAACAATATTATTTTCGTTATGTTACGTGGTTTGAAACAAATATACAAAAAACTATAGAATACTATAATACACAATAGGATGGATGTCAACTTTATTTTATACGAGGATTAGCGACGCCAAACCCGATTCGCTGTGTTGACAGACTGAGTAAATTTACACATTTTAGACTTTTGATTAATGTTCAACATCATCATTAAAAATCGTTTAAATTCTAATACATATTTATTTGTAAATAGGGTGCAATTTGGCATTTTTTAAATAATTTGCATGCGAAATTTGGAAACGATTGTAACGTCAAAACACATCTCGTTTTGACATTTATACGTGTGAATTGACGTGTTAGTAACATTTTAGTGGCGACGCGGGCTCCGCCCACTCCCCCGTTCTATTATGTATGTATTATAGTATTCTATGCAAAAACACACTCTGAAATTATATTATCAAAAATTAAAAGTAAATTATAGTAACATAACACGGAACAGTTGCATCACATTAATAAAATAATATTTAACAAGTACATTTGTTGAAATTTTACGATATATTTTATGACTTTTTAATGTCACACAATGTAAATAGGAAATTTTTCATCTCAATGAACAAACATATATAATATAAAAACTTATAGGTTGAAATGTCGCATGAGTCGAATTAATATTAAATGTGTGTGTATTTTATTATATTACTATCAGATCATTATACAATAATTCACTAACAAAGACTAGATTATTACTCGCGTCGCTGTCAGAGATTCCTAGCCTTCCATATTTTTAACAATAAGTACTATAAAAACCGTTTTGAGGCAGAAGTAGCAAGATTACAGACAATGTTAATAAAAAATTAGGTACCAAGTGACTTTTATAATTTATCTTTATCAATAAATATTATTTTTGACCACGTAGACTTAGAAATTATTTATTTTTAAGTCTACACACAACTCGGATATATTTATTTTTCTTATTGAAATACGTACATATTCGAATAAAAATTGTATAAAGAGAAATTAAAAACTGCATTATAAAATAGGTATAAATGCGAAAATAATATTATAATATAGTAGGTAGGTAATTGTAATAGTACGAATAATTTAAATTATATAAAAATATAGGAAATGTAATATATTTTCTAGAAACGTTTAAAATGGAGGAAAATATATTGCATTAACGACGATTTCTTGTAGCAGAAGAACTACTAACTGGAACCAATAATCGTCGCGGTACAAGTCAACGAGCGTTGCCTCTAACTGGCCGGACAGCGCCCGGTTGCTTTAAATTATATAAAAATATAGGAAATGTAATATATTTTCTAGAAACGTTTAAAATGGAGGAAAATATATTGCATTAACGACGATTTCTTGTAGCAGAAGAACTACTAACTGGAACCAATAATCGTCGCGGTACAAGTAAACGAGCGTTGCCTCTAGCTGGCCGGACAGCGCCCGGTTGCTTTAAATCGGCTAGATGGGATGCGTAGCCATCGCTTAAAGTGGTCGCCATGTTACAATACTTTTTACTAATGCGACCAATTGCATACACTTGCTTGGCAGTAAGTCCGCAGTTATGGTATACACTTATGTCTTTTCCAGATCCATAAGCAGCCTGAAGAATAATACCGTGATCATTTATAAGGCTATTTAGATGTGCAGCCTTATGTCCTAAAGGATCTGTCGAAAATCCATCAGAAAAAAAGACCAACCCATGCGGAAAATTATGTTCGGCCAACCATGATACTACTTTTCTTTGCTGCATATCGGGTCGCCCTGTTATGTAAAGAATTAGATAGCCAAGATCCTGCCAGAAACGGACTACGTCAACTGCACCCGCTCTCACTTTAGGGTCTCTGCCAGTCACCGAAACGCTTGCTGTAAAGGAACCGTCAATGCTGAACACTACACATTCAGTTTGTGGTGGCACTACAGCTAAATGGAAGTTACAACTAGTATGATCTCCTCTTACCACAACTCTTACTGGATATATACCACACCCAACACTTTGTTTCTCTGTTAACGTGTACGTTATTCTTCCAGTTTTATCCGTCACCACTGTTGATAATAATGTCCATTCACCTGCTGGAGGATCTTTCATCATGTGTATATCAACTTTCTCTCCTGTGAGAGTTATCATATCTAATGGCCCGTACATGAATCTCGCCGTAAAGGTTTGCGGGCAACCTTCTTTTACTATTATATCGTTAGCTCTATGATTGGCTGCAACATTTTTTAATTTAACCGACGTACGCTTTTTAATCCATTTTTCTCTTTCTTGGCCAGGTTTGAACATTGTACTGTCTTTGTCTTCAACATGTCCATAGATCGCTAGATCAAAATGACCAACTTGTCTTAGAATAAAAGCAATTACATCTGAACTTTCCCAGTAACTAGCATGAAATAGGTGTGGTAAGGCATTAGTAGGAAAATTAGATAAACCCTCGGGACAGTATAATGCATAGTCTAATCTCTTTGTTCCCCACCACTTGTGTTGTAAAGCGTTCATTGTGATTAATGGTATATTATCAACTAAGCCGCTGACAGTACTCTGAACTGAAGCTTCTGAAAGTCTACGTAATATTGGTGTCGGAGGCATTTGTAAATGATCACCAAATAATTGAGGGTGACTTTGTATAAGTTCCATCAAATGGTAAGGTTGGCCATTCCCGAGCGGATACTTAGCGTATCTGGCGACGTTTATAGGTGGTAGATCCGTAAATCGAGCAGACAAAAGTGGCTCTAATCTAGAACCAACTGGATCCGTTGGATGAAATAAATTATAAACTTGTTGTGTAGGTGGTTTCATAATATCTCTCAATTTATCGTCAGCAATTCTTCTTGATGCTAATATAAGCGAAAGTGGACTACCGAACGTAAAAAAGTCGGTCACTTCAAACTCTAGTTTTGCTTGATTGTCACTTGTTGATGATGATCGCCTCCGAGGAGTTGGAGCTTGTAAGTGAGATTTGCTTAAGTAATTTTCAGTGGGTTCATTTGGTATAATTATTTCTGTATTGAGAATACTGTTTTCACTATCATGACGGGATTGATACTGCACTGTACGACAAAGCGCATCATAAGCTAATACAGAACCCATGCTGTCACCGACTATACAAACTTGACCATTAAATCCTTTACCGTCATCAGATTTTAGAAATTCATTGAAAATTGTATTGGCCGAAATAATGGTTTTTGTTACAGAGTCAATATATTCAGGAGAGCTTGTTGCTATTAACGGAATAGCACCAATAGGTATAAGATCATTTGTTAGAGAAGGTGTTTCCATAGTTGATGGCGAACAATCGAAACTATAAGGGCTTAATGTTGACAAGACGCCAAGGGCTTCTGTGCAAATAGATGGACACGATACTAATTTTATTGCAATATGACCCACTAATGTAGGATAATGTTGTCGCATTACAGATTCAAATGCACCCTTAAATGTTGTCACATCAGATTTCTTTGCTGTCATGTCATTATTAGCATCAAGAACACTACCTGCATGAAAAACGAGTATTAACACAGTAGTTGGGCATGAACTGTGAACCGGTGCTTCCGAACAACCATCAATACTTTGATGACTTTGCAGAGTAATCATGCGACGCGAACCTCTTTCGGAGGTGACTCGCTTTAAAAACGATGGATTGAAGATACTGTCTTCTTGATTATGATCTCCCTGAGTTGGTGATATATCAATTTCAGCTTCATCAAGAGAACACATAGAAGACCATTTGTTAAAAGAGGATTCACAGTCATAAAATTCATCTTCTGAACCTGTTTCTGTTTCTGATTCCCTCACAAGAGTTTCCATACGCCAATTAGCTACTTGTGCTTGCAGACTTTTTATAGATCCAGAAGATGATGATCGTAAATGACTTCTTAAGGAACTCTTTTGTTCTGAGGGTGGGGTACTTTCTGGTGTCAAATTTTTTGAAATTCGTTTTTCAACACTAGTCTTTTTGGTAGTCAATGGAGTTGCTACGTCTTCATTTTTTTCTAAACTACTCATTGTAGCAGCAAGTGATTTTGAATTTTCCTCTGAAATATCTTGCTCATCACTTGTTTCGCCTCCCATTTTCTTTTGTAAGGCTAATTGTGTTTGTCTTTCTATTTCCCTAATATCTTCCATAGTTAGCCCATACCATTCATCCTGCCAAGCCCATGCTTGGCGATGAGCTCTAAGCATAGTTTTTCTTAATGCAACATCGTGAATAAATTTTTCTAATTTTGTTTGCATACCCCAATATCGAAATTCAACTTTGCAGAGTTTATAAGCACACATGAGAGATTTTCCATTTGGTAATGGTTGAGGTTTGCCCTGAACTTCTTTCCAATAATCTTCTAACCACGTTTCAGATAAAGGGCCTCTTTTACATTTTTCGGAAACAAAAAGTTTTGGGTCCTCCTCCTTTATATAATCAGCACCATAAAGCTGATCTTTAACAACATCTATAACATCAACAATTCTGTTTTTTAAATCACTGCCGGTTAGTTTAAACACATTTTCCTGATGACCATTATCAGCAAAATAATAAGTCTCAATTTCAAGAGAAAATTTTTCAACAAATGGACATGTATATCGTGTTTTTGTATATGGATATGCATTCCAAGCTTCTTCAGAAACAGTTAAGGCTGACTTTGGAAGTAAACTTTTAAACCAGCCAGGTAAATGGCTTCCAACATGATAGATTTTTTGAGTGTACTGACCTTTGCCACCAGGACCATCTTCATAGGGCTCATTAACAATAATTTCCACACCACTTCCTTCACCAGAGCTTTCTTCTCTGCTCTTTTTTGCAATCATGTACAACTGTGCAATACGATACTCCTCCACAGTAAGTGGAAGTGGTATTCTATATTCCTTGATAAGCATTTTATTTGATTATATTGAATCTATTTATCTTTAAGTTTAAGCATAAACTGAAACAAAAAGAAATATTTATGGAAGACATTTTGTTCAATTGTTTTGAGCCAAATAAAATGAAGTCCCACAAAGTTTCCAAGGAACAATAACAAATTTGTTTACTTGATGTTAGATACAGAAATAACACACCTATATTTATTTTACAATTGCTAATAGTCAGTAAATTTAGAAGTTTCTTTTTTTAACAAATCTACTAAAAGCATATTCAGCATGTCTTAAGTGATTTACAGAAAAATTTATGTTATGAAGAATTACTAGTAGATTTTAAAGAATTGTAACAAGTCATTCCTCTGTAATGAATTACAGTTATAGTCTTGGCTTATTAAAAGATCACTGCTAAATGTAGACCTCCCTCATAAATTGCCTTATAGGGTGGGTCGCACCACAGTTGTCATGCTTGGCAGGCGGGTTGGCAACCACAGCTTTTATATCTTAGTTATTATAAGAAAGATGTTCCTGCCTATCTTGTGGTTTATTTCCATCTGTCGCCTTTTACGATACCCACTGGACGATATGGGAAAGTGGATATTCTTGCACTGCCAGTACAAAGTCAATTTATGTATCAGGTAAAAGGTGTTAAATTGTAAAAACAGAAAATATTAAATACTGTATATAATAACAAAAAAATATCCTTAATAGGATTTTGAAGCATTTTGTAATGCTTATATATAAATATTTGATCTTTTTTGTCTTCAATAAATACCTAAATAAAAATAAAATGAATATTCTGTTTAATTATTCAATATTTTGTTCATTCCCGCATATATGTAAAAAATGTATTATTAATGCCAACAGCTTATGCTATACTAAACATTCCTAGTCATGGCTTTTTCCCTTAACCAGGTCAGTTACACTTTATACCACACTTGGAAGGAAAAGGATTAAAAAGAGTATAAAAATATTCACATATCTTTTAAAGACAGTCTTAATAGGTAGTTTTCTAATGTTTTCATTGTTAATAGGGCAAACAGGATAAAGACTGTTTGATGGTGAATGACATTCAAACAAAGGCTAGAGGTGTAACTTAACTTTGCAGTCAAAGATTAAATTTTTCATAACTTATAATAATATACTTATCCTCTATACCCTTTAGACTGAACACAAATAGAAAAGTTTGTGTCACTATGCAAGTGGACTGCTAGTGAGAAAACTAGCTATCAAAGGAAAAGAGTGATATAATTTAGTGTCACAAATATAAAAACAAGCACAGAGTGACATCCTAATCAAAACTACTAGCGCAGGGGTAGCGAACCTTTATGTAACAACATGCCATTTTTCTAAAGAAATGTTTAATTAGGTAATAGACATGTCATAAAATAATTTTGACTTTATGATTATATGAAAAAAATATTACTAAATACTATTGACTCAAAACTCTTTATTTACTACGAAAAATAAATAAAGAGTTTTGAAATACAATTTGCTGTGTATAATAATAATATGTAATGTTTCAACCATACGCTTAATTCAATTTAAAGTAGCATTAGTGTGACTTATGTTGTTGCAGATTAGATGACAAATAACTTATATTGGGGTTGTAAAATCCTAAATATGACACAAATGAGTTTTTAAATATATTTGTGTCAACGAAATTGACTATTATGCTATGTATAAATGAACTATGCATTCCTTTAGAGAGACATGGACTTGTGAAGGGCTGTAATGATGATGATGATGATGAAACAAACTATGCATCATTAGTAATGATAGTCCACGTAAGTAGGGTCACTCGAGTTCATTCGTAATATAATACTTCATAATGAACTTTTTAATTTTTCGTGTGCCCAAAATATTGTGTCAACCAATGGCACTTGTGCGAAGCGTTGAAATTCTTTAAAATTGCATAACTTTTGTAGTGACAACTTGAGAATTCTATATGCAACAATAGAGGCTCACAAAAAAAAACAAGACATTATATTAGATTCATAACGGTAAATATAATGTATAAGCGACAGTAGCCTAATGGCAGGGCGTGGACCGTGAACTCAAAAAGGTTGTGGGTTCCAATCCACCATTCAACTACTGGCGTGAACCACTCGTAACACAAGCAATTATACTTGACACCTACCACAAGTGGTTAAGGTGATTATTAGTAATGTTTATGGCATTGTTAATATTCTTTTTTTTAAATAAAATAAAAAAAATAATATGTTGCTTTTTACCCGTTTCTCATACAATTTGAAATATTTGAAAAATGTTTGAAAAATACGAAACTGTTAATAATGATAACACCAATGAGAATATAATCACTATATTTATATATGACATTTGTTTTAGCTCATCTTTATTTTTATTTTTATATTTATTCAAAAAGTTTCTACAAATTTGACTGTATATTTCTTTTTTATGTTATCATAATTTCTTTGTCAACAATTAATTTAATTTTGATTTGTCAGTAGAGTAATTTTTTCTAAATGATCCTATTTAAATAATTAATCAACAATAATCAACGATTGTAGTCAGTTTATATTTTTTTTTCCAATTTTTAGTCGTAACAAATATAAATTAAAGCCTTACAATACGTAATTAGCTTTTATTAAAATGTTATGAAAAATTATTGTTATATTTTGTTATGAAAAAAAAATGTTATTTACAAATTATATTAATAATTTAAAGAAAAAAGCGACATTTAATAATTATCGTCAATAAAATTAATTTTACAAAACGGTAAAATATTTAAAAGCTATACCTACAAAATATAAGTCTACGGTAGGAATAAATTAATTTACATCCACACAACATGTTTTTAAACGAGAAAAATAAATTTGGTAAATATTTTTGAAACCTTTACCTGTAAATTCATTGTGAATACTTTAATATGATATTGGGAAAACACAATAAATTCTTACACGTAACACCGTCCAAGAAATAATTATTTTCTCAAAAAATTTACACCACAACATCACAATCACATCCACAAGTGAACTTTGACATTTTCGCAGTCAAACAGTGGAATAATGACTTAAGCTTCATTCCTTTCTTTTGTATGCATTGCCACTAGTTATAGTTAACTTCAATACATTATTTTTTCTATTTTTAGTAACCTCTTTTTGATTGAAAATCTTTTATTTAACTTTCATTATTATATTAGTACAAATTTGATTTATCACTAATTCGCAAATAAATTGTATAAGACCTTTATCCGTTAATGGTACGCATATAAACGATCGTAGATTGGAACGTTGTTGATACAAATGGATAGGGCTGTATTCATAGCCTTATGGAAAAATTGCAAAAATATAGTGTAAATTAAGATTAAACTTAAGGTCAATCGAAGCGTTTATTATGTAATACAAAAAATATATAAGTACCAACTATACATTTCAACTTATTTAAAAGTTACTCTATATGATGCCCAACGATAAAAATCTAAACATGATAGAAAGCGACCCTTTCAAACTGTATTTACTTTGTATTTTCTGAAGCGCATATTGTGCAAAATCATATTAAGTGTTCCATGACATCAATCATTATCCATCACACTTAAATGATGCTCCTATCCCCATCTTAATAATGTATGTGAATATTAACAGCAATTGGCGATAGTTGTTTTTAAGAATTTTTTCCGAAAATCGATTGATGTAATTGTGGCAGCTTTTCTTTCCTTTCCCTTTATTTTTTATTTACCTACCTACTTTTATAATTTTACCACATATTTCTCTACAAGGTTCTCTCATAAGGCGGATGCCATAGACATCTTTATCTATCCTCGAATAAGAATCTTAATGCAGATGCGTTGTCACCCCAGAGGACTAAGATGGAATTTCTAGTTCTCAACAAAGAGGTCTTCAGTTTTCTATGGTGAGGTGAGTACCACTCGAAGCATAGCACCTTATTATACTGCTATTTTATTTTATTTCGTATTTCGTCATTATATTGTATTTCGTCAGAGCGTAGTCCCACCTCAGTCAAGCCGACCCATTTATACTATAGCTGCAACATGGCTTTACAAGACCAAATTTCGGTCATGGTAGCTGGTCTCTGATGAAAACTAGCCTAGGCATCTCTACAGGACAGGATTATAGTGCCCTAGAGCATGCATGAAACACAGGTGCACTCTCTATTCTCTCACTTTCATAGTCCAATGCAATGGGGCGGTAATCCTACACGACCGACAAATGTTCTGGCGCAGCACCAACAGCTTTACATGTTTTTCGAGACACAAGGCTGGAACACCGCTTACTTCCTGACTCCATGCTGTTACTGAGAAGTGATAATTTTTAGACAGAAAAACCCGTTCCATTTTACTCCAACGTTGAACCTGATCGACATATTATACACTGCACCAAATTATTACATGTTCTTATAATTACGAATTTGGTGATTGTGTACACGTTATAGACTTTTTAGAGGAAATGTTGGTTACCTTTAAATATTTAATATATCTTCTGTATAGATAAAAAAACAGCTCCAGAGAGTTTTGTGAGAAAAAGTACGTAATTAATTTTATTTTGTTTATAGTTATAAGCCAAAATACGACAGTAAAAGTGTTTTCTATTCTTAGCTCCTTTTCAAAACTGTTATATAATATAACATTTCTTACATAGAACGAAAACTATGAGAATTACGTACATCTGAGTATATAGCCATAAAACTATGTAGTGGCATAATTTCGAACATTTACAACAACGAAATAAAATGCTCCTCGAAGTGAAATGACCTATAATTAGCCAAAGCTTCTTACTTGTACTTAAGCATATATTCTATCTTTAAAGTATTTTCACGTCGAAGATATATTTTATCTGTTTTGTTATTAATAATTAACTCATGGAGTGTAGAGGTAAAGAGAACCAACTCTGTAAAAATGTCCATAAGAAAGCGCTAAATAAGGGTGGCGCCACTGTAGCTAGAGGGAATTTTTTATAATTTTTTATTGCACA